TTATTGCTTATTCAGCTTGGCAGTTTCTCACTTACTTACTATCCATCAATTCAGCCACTGCATCTGTCTGTTTATACTTCCAGCTCTATAATTTCAAATTGGCCAACGGACATTAAACAGCATATATAAGCAGCCGTGGCTATGAGTGTTTTGGTTGTGTTGCTCTCCCCTCGATCAGCTCAGCCATTAGCACACTGAATATTTAATCATGTACATAACTTTTCCCTTATTACTCTACCATTAATGTAGCCTACTTTTCATATCCCTCCACATAAACTCTTACACGTCCAACCAGTACTGTTGACATTCACCTCCGCTTTATAGTTCAACGTGGGGAGGAAATCCTTGGGAAGAGAAAAGCTAAATAATTTCTGCTAGTTGCTTCGGGGCTTCATGAGCACCACTCATTAATTAAGGGGAATGTATTAGTCATGACTCCCACCAAAGCGTTTGCATATTAATGAGGAGTGTGTTTTAGTGAGTGTGTACCTTGTGAGTGGAGGCTGCCTCAGGCCAGGTCCTGACTGACACTTAAAGACACAGTTCATGGTTTGATATAAAAAGATACTTCAGCTTTGCAGCTCTGCTTTAAATCCCCACCACAGCATCAAGGAGGGTTACTGTATTGTTTATAATCATCTAAAATCATGTTAGATTCTAATTGAAGATGCATTAACTGCAGCTTAATCAGTTTGGTAAGCTCAGCGACAAGACGTGAATCAATAAACACGTTGCCAAAAATCAATTAATCCCATATTAAAAAGAAACAGAGATACAGAATTATTTTTTCATGTTGTTTTAATTATGTTTTTTTTAAAAATGTATGAGTCAGATTTCCCTTTTCTCTAATAGAGCATCTGCAATTAAGCAGGGTTGTGGTGGCCTCAGGTCAACTCCAGAGCAGCCTCATTAGGCTCTTTCAGTGTGGGGCTCATTAGTGGAACATGTAATATGGCATGCGTGACATGTTGATTGTGGTGTGATTAACATGCTGTACCAGGCTAAAGCAGTGGACCTGAGAAACTATAGCTAACGGAAATCAGTCATTATTGTTCACTATTGTTGACATGTTGAACTCTCAATAGGGCACTTAGTAATCACAGTTAATCAGTATTGCAGGGATATATTTTACATGTCTGTCATCTCAGGAGCAGAGATAAAGTATACACTTTTTTCATGGAATACATTTTGACATGTCACAGTAGGAAAAGCACAGGTATAAAAAAAATAAAAATAAATAAAGGATGACAGAATTCCATTCAGCTGCTTCGGTTTCAGGCTCCTCATATTGTGCACGCTAGCTCACTGTCACACCGTCATGACTTACTGGGACACTTGAATAGAACAGAGCCATCCGTAATGCTATTAGTAACATATTTGCTTCTCCAACTATGACAAATCAAAATGTCTGCTCTGAAAAAGACCTGTTGTTGGTTTCTTGGGAAAAAGGTAGCCTACCATCCATGCTATGGATTTTGTGTTCCATTGTGAGCACAAAATGCACATCTCTTTGTGAATACATTTAGCAAATTCTAATTATTTGTATTAAATACTGAGCAATACTGAGGGAGTGCAGTTCATGCAGGGGTAAAAGTTCCCACCCATGATTGCAGTATGACTTCCTATAAAAGGGCCTTTTTATATTGTGGTTCCTACAAACACAGTTGGCTGTATTAGCAGTGAAGGATCATGTCCTTGTTGCCCAAGTGACTCTCGACCAGTAGGAGTCAGTGTGTCTGCAAAGCTGGGGAGGGAACAGAGGTAACAGAGGGAACTACCCCTTTATTATGCCCCTCTGGCAGGTAAAAAATGTGTCATGTCTGTAGCCCTCCATTGGGTCTAGAGAGGAGTTACTAGTCGAAAATTTACATTCCGAAATTGGAAGAAAATAGGGCAATTAAGTTGAAAAAATACATGTATTAAGTCATTTGCATGCAGCTTATATCCTGCGTGCGCACCAATGGATCCATTCACCCCATGTCTGGAGCAGTTTAGCTGAACTATGGGGCCTCATTTCTAAAAGTTCTTGGACAAGGCTGGATTACCAAACAGTCAAAGTTGGAAACCGTCCCAGAACTGCAAAAGATCCTCTGGGGCCCCCTGCAGGTCCAATATGTGTCACTTGGTTTGTGGTAGTTTGAGTAACTGCAAGTTTTCATTGATCCAATTAGATATTAAAATGTCCATCTAAACTTCTCAAACCACTAATACAGCATAATTATTTTTTTCTGCTGACCACTTTTATCCTCAGTATGTTCTAAACACTCAAATACAAGTGCAAATAGCTACTTATACAGTATTTGCCTTTTGCGATCAGTGTAAACAAACAATTTGTAAAGGCAACAGCTAGCAAAATGAAAGCTGTTTATTTAGCCATATTTTGTGCCAAACTTCCCTATCAGCTCCTTGTAAACTTTTACAGAAGCACCACAGAGAGTGTCAACTGCTACTGTGCCAAGAACCAGAACCAGAAAGTCTTGGTGCGGGTGGTAAAATCAGCAAAAACTATTATGGGAACTATGCTCCCAAACCTGGACGCAGTGTATGCTAGTCGTCTAGTCTACACCAGCCTGATCTAAGAGACTGAGAAACCGCTTGTTGAACTGTAGCCTCCATTACCCTCTCATATGTTGAGCGGGAGACTGAAAATATTATCAAGTTAACCTCTCTCATCCATCCCCCCAACTGCTGCTAATGCACTCTAAAATTTTATTCCAATACATATACATCTGTAATATACAATCTATGCTCATGTCTCTGCATAGTTAGTTTTTAATTGTTGTGTGATTCCTTTTTATAGGCCTACTGCACTGTTTGCACTGTCACTGTTTGCCAGCCTTGTCCAAGTGTCTTTATTTATAATATATACAAAGAAGATGCTACCTCATCATATTTATCTTGTTTATTCATCTTTTTTTATCTTGTTTTCTATTGCTGCTGGTCTCATGGCATAATTTTGTTATATACCTACAATGACGAATAAAGTGTCTTAGGTCATATTTCAACAAATGTAATACTTTTTGTCACTATGAAGCATGGATCGCTGTTGTAATTCATTGCAAATCTAAGCCACAAACCTTTCTTAGACACCTTTCAGGCTGCAGGTGGAACTACTCAAAGCAAAAGTTTTCAGTGGAAAATTCCTTAAACTTTGTCCAAGGTCCTCAGCAGAGGCAGCCAACCATAAAAATCTGAGTAAAATTAAGGATATTTAGCAAACATCTGAAAATCAAAGCTAAAGTTTTGCTATGCATCTACACATGAACAATCCTGACTTCAGAGCAGTGAGGTAGAATTACTGTTTTAGTAGAAGGTCTCTGAGTGATGGTTAATCATGCACCGCCTGCAGTACTACACCCACCTCTTATTCCCTCTGGCCCTTTGCTAACAGCTAACATATAAAAATCAAGAGAGCAGTTCATGGTACCCAGCAGAATATAAAACACTGACCCTGAGCATGTATAGAACTGTACAGCCCTGTGTAGTGTTTGGCCATATGTTTGTAGTGAGTCAGCGTTTCATGAATGAAGCAAAACGGGCCATAGTGTATTTTCATACCCCTGATCTTGCACTGTTTACCATAATAAAATAGTCTCTCAGCTTTATTGTCAAGCCCAGAAAGGATCATGTTATTTTTAATTCAAGGATAAGGAGAGAACAGGCTAAATTGTGCTTGCAAGCTTCTAACATGATAACAGTCCTACTCTCTTTCAGCAGTGTGATTGGCTCAGTGCAGCCATCAGTAGCCAAAGCCTTTAAAACAGGCAAACCATGCATCATTAACTGCTTTGAAATTCGTGATGTTACAGTGTTTTGACACATTATAATTACTGGGTAGGACGCATTCTGTGTTTATATTCTTTTATTCACTCTGCAATTGTAGAAACATCAACATTGTCTCCTTACTGTGAGGAGAGCAGAGGTCATGGTGAGCAGGTTTATAGTACAGATGTCTTTGCTAGATGTGTTACTGAAAAGGAGAAGATAACTTCAGAAAGTGTTGTCCTCACAATCAAAAATCTCTTCTGGCACTGGAGATTTAAATTTCAAGCAGCACATGCTGACCAATCACAGTTCTTGTGATCCTCATGTGGTATCTCTGTAGCTGCCATAGTCCCTGATATTATGTTGTGACATTGGGAAATATTGAGACATTTTAAACAACCATTAGCAGAGGTAAATTATCTTGAGTTAGTGGTCTCAAATATTCTAGAAAGCTCAACTTGTTTACATGATTTTGTGAAAGTTGAGTGTTGATATATTTCTTGATGCTGTGTCTCACTAGTCACCAGTATCTAAACCAACATCATTAGGCTAATTGGTGCTGATACTGAGCAATCAGTCAGCACACCTGGCCTGTGTCAGCTGTTGCACTTCTACTGCCTGATGGTTATTTTAAAGATAAGATAATATAAGATAGACTTAGACTTAGAAATTCAATCGCTACAGCAGCTCCAGATACAACACAACATAAAAGAAATAGAAAATACACAATAAATATTTAAAAAAATACAAGTAGAAGTATACAATAAGAGTCTTATGTATATTATTTACAGCTTTTATGTAATGTATTTTAATACTGCATAGGTCACAGCAGGAGGATATAACTGCACAGGATAACATATATAGAGCAGTATAGTTTAGAGAAAGTATACTGTAGTAAAGAGAAAGTAAAGTCTGGAAAAAGCAGCCTAGCTTTGTGCCTTTGTCATTGTTTGAAGTAACCTTCATGTTACAGAATAGGCCTCACATCCATTTTGAAGCAGAACTGGTGTTGGATGTTTAGAAATCTGGCTGCTGACAGAAGAAAAGCTCAGCTGTGACCTCATATTCTCAGCCAACTAGCTTGTTGACTGTCCTCTCATCAGTGGAATTTCCATGGCTGCTCAGCCGAAAAGGAGTGGGCTTTTTTTTTCCAATGACCTCTCCATCTTTCACACAACAAACACACATACACACAACCGTTCTGACTGCGGAGTCTCTCTCTATCTCTCCCTCAGAGCATGATGAGTGCGCCAGCGGGCAAAATTTGTGTGATGAGAACGCCATCTGCACCAACACCATCAGAGGACACCTGTGTACCTGCAAGCCGGGCTACGTGGGCAACGGCACCATCTGCAGAGGTAAGTTCCTGCCCTGGAACAGCCCTCCAGCCTCGCAAACACAAACACCCACAATACAGACTTGAACCTTCCTCCACATCCTTTGATAGTGGCTGATCCTCTACTCCTTCACATCGTGGTCAGTCTGGTTCACTCCTCCTTCACATCACCTAACCAGGCAGCAGCTGACACAGAAATGATGAAAATTGATTCTGGACCAGTTTCAGCCTGTTTTTCCACATGTGTGCCTCCTCTCCCTCACTGCCTACCCTGGTCCCTGTTGACCTGTAGCCCCGCCCAGTTGCCTCGCCCGGTTGGCTCTACAGTATCTTACAGATGGAGGGAGGAAGGAGGGCGGAAATGAGAGATGTTTTGGCGCAATGTGTGTGGCTGTGTGTGTACATACAGCACTAACAGCTGAATTATAAAGATAGAAAAAATGTATAATCTCTTTAGAAAAGCCTCCATTCAACTCCAGGCTGAGTAGACCGTTTGAGTGTTCTTAGTATACTTCAGCTAAATAGCTAGAGCATTTGTTAGTTGTGTGCTATCATTCTCAGAAAATGAAAACAGGAACAGTCAACAAAGTGCAAAGTGGATACCAGTTGGAATTAATTCTGAATAGGATTTTTTAATTATCTAGGTAACATATGCTCTGTTTAGACAACATAGATAATAATTAGTCAATATTATAGATACATTTTATACATATAAAATTATAATATTTTTTTCCCCTTATTCTGATCAGTTATGCCTATTCCAAGACCTGTAACATATTCATTAAGCTTCTACACAATACTGCACAGTACACATTTACAGCTGGGGCTGAGCGATACTTCACTGCTATCATGTGTCTACTTTCAGTGGGACTGTGATTAAACAAAAAATGCTGTTGTTCAAACTTTGCAAATAGTTGAGTTTTTAAGGTTTTGGTTTTACACATTTGACAGTTTTATGTGACCTAAAACGTGTCGTTTAAAGACTGTAGCACTATTTAATTTAATTTTTTATTTAATGGTGATTTTGAAAACTATATCAGAAAGTATTATATTTAATATTGTGATACTAGCTACATTAAAATGACGTACATATTGTACATTATCAAAAAATGCATTTTGTATTTCCCCAAATCAGCAGATTCAGAGGTGTGATGCATCTGTAAAATGTTACTGAAATAGATGCAAATTGACATCTTCTGCAGTGCAGGCAATAGAAAGGCATTAAAGTGACAGTTCCAGGATTTTAACAGAGTACAGCAGTGCATGTTTTCTGTACCAGGACAAAATGTACCGATAAGAAATGAATCAAGCTTTGTATAAGTTTGGAAAGTTTTGAACATCCTGCTGTAACTGTGCAACCTTGATATGTTACTTGGTTTCAGTAGCTTCTCACAATCAATGCAGATGTCTTGCCAATAAACACTGGCTCTTGGCCAAAACTAGCCGTCTTGACTGGCTGGCCAATTCAGAAATGGCATCTTTAATACCCTGAGCTCTGTGAGCAGGTTATTGAATAACCGCAGTCAATTCTCTTCATTTTTACAACAAGAGTGACTTATTGCTTTTTTATTGTAACAAATGATTTCCCATTCAGGGGAAGTTGAACTGTGTTAAACAACTCCTTTATCAAACTGAACAATAAAATGAAAAATAACAAACCAAAAAAAAAAAAACCATTAAATTACATTTATATTTATTTACCAAGCACATGAAAACCACCTTGGGAGCTTGCAGTGACATTTGTCTCTCTATAGTTCTATGACCCCATGTTAGTGTTAATACGAGTGAATATTTGTGGAGGGCTGTGCAGCTGTTTAGGTTCCCACATTGTGTGTGTGTGTGTGTGTGTGTGTGTGTGTGTGTGTGCATGTTCACACACAACCTTCATGTGTTCACTCAGCCATGTACTGTATGAACTATATTTAACTGTATATTTGCACTGAACGCTGCCGCAGTGGGACAGTCGCTGCAGGTTCGGGGCAGATAAAGCAGGATAGTCGATAGCAGTCCATGTAGGTCCCTTATGGAGTCTGAGGAGACTCGTTAGATTGTTGGCAGCTTCTACAAGCCAGAGGAGCATCACAGCTGTGTATTAACAGCCATGTTTACACTGGAGCCAGTGAGGTGAGAAGAGGGAAAACACACTGTATGTATTCAGTTTTCTAAAGTCTTAGATACAATCCCTTTCTCAAGAGACGCCAGGCCAAAATGGCAGTATAGAATAGATAACATGGGTGGGGTCACATTCTGGATCCAGTTATAATTTGACACGTTACAATCATTCAGGTTGCCATTTATCTAAAGAGCATGCAATATACCAAGAAGAACATTTGTACCATCTATTTACATGAATCTTATTTATTAAATATGGCATATGTTGCTTTTGACTTTTGCTGTTCAAAGATTTTGAAAGCTAAAGTTACATAGATTCATTAAAATATTAGAAAGAATTGAGATTTGGTCTGAAGATTTGATTCCGATTTCCTCATGAAGCAGTTTTTGGATTAGATCTTTTAAATGCCTGATACATATTTGGTGCATTTGGATTTTATTTTAGTTGGTTTTGTTTGGTTTTGTTTTGTTTTTATTATTTACTTATTACTTGTTATTTTGTCCCCATAGCACAGTACACTAGCACTATAAGCCAGACTTCTCACATGTACAACATATGCTGTAGGTACTAGAGTTTCGCTTTCATGAAATTTTAAATGAGTAAACCTATTATTTAAATTGGAAAATGTCTCAAGACTAAGAACCTCATCGAGCCATCAATGTACTCAAAAAGCAGACATTTGATATGCAGCCCTACTCATGTCTAGAGCTTAATTTGTAAAGAAAGAAATCCCATGAGCTCGCACGAAGCCCTTTCATGTAAATTTCATGACTGTGTGCTTATGCTTGGCTGCTGTCCAAGTCATGAGAGTATCATCAGGTTTAATTAGCCTTTCATTTTCCGAACCGCTTAACCATGATCTCAGTAAACTTCTAGCAAAATATGTTGTGTAATGGGATATCAGCGCTTTGAGGGAGCCAATCACCGGATGAGACTGGTCCTCACAGGCAGCCTTAGTACAGGTTCCATCAACACTAAACAACTGCAGCTTGCAAGGCTAAAACCTGCATAAAAAATCATTTTGGGTTTTTATTTGTCTTCTTTGGATTTTCTGAAAACCTGATAATTATAGATGTATATATATACTTATATAGTTCTATTGACAACCATTTTGAAAATCCTTTAAAATTTAAAACCAAAATCTAGTCCACTGTTGGCTGGGGTAAGCCAGATATTTTGATCATCTTTCAACTGATTTAACAGAGGTAAACATTAAAGCACAGTTAATTTTGACCCCCGTGCCATGTTCCACCGTGATTTCTCACTCATTAATTCATGTTCTGTGTCTGCACTGCGGCTCATTACCGTGACAACCAATAATGTTGTAATTAGAGGGACAGGACGGAGGAAAGCATGTCAGTCATACCAATGATTAGCAAAGGATAGTGTGGAAATATGTTGCTACAGGTGGATGTCTGTGTGTGAGAGTGAGTGCATCGGGAAAACGGATAAATTAAGAAAAGGAAAGCAAGAGTAGGAAAAAGAGACCAAAGGTAGATGCAAAGAGGGCGATGGAGGAAAGAGGAAGAAGATTACAGGAGAAGGAAAAAGAAGTATGTGTTTCTAACCGCACCCACCCTCCCTCCTACACCCTTCTGTAACACAGGCATTAGGATGGGCGGCAGGTGGAAGGCAGGTCTAGGGAGAGATCAATGCAATTTGCAAAGTGCCTTCCACACAGTTTCTGCCGCTGGATTGTCTCCAGGCTTGTGACACACACACACACATACATACGCACACACACACATACGCACGCACACACACACACACACACACACACACACACACACACACACACACACACACACACACACTTGATTGTCCCTGTGCCCAGGACTGTGAGTAGTGGTAGTATACAACCTGACTGTAGCACTACCTCCACATTTTTCACTCTGGAAGTCACATTTAATGTGCAATTGATGTAACAGAGCAGCTAGAGAGGCGACTGTCTCAAACAATGTTTAGAATATGAATTATGGAACATTAAAATTACTAAACGTGGTGAAAAGACGTTAACATATGGTAAGTGGACACCAGAATAAAGTATTTGGGTGCATGGACATTACACCAGTACATGATTGAGCACCTCCTTTTAAAACCATGACTCCTGCTGAAGCCTTCACTCTTCTGGTAAGGCTTTCCTAGAACCTGGCTGCAGGGACTTGCTGCAATTCAGCCAAAAGAGCATAAGTGGTGTTGGACCATACGGTTTTAATTTGTCCCAAAGTTGTTGGATGGGTTTGATATCAGGGCTCTGTCTGCCAGTCAAGTTCTACCACACCGAACTAGATGTGTATCTTTATGCATGGAGGCCTTCCCCAAACTGTTGGCACAAACTCACACATATGATCTAAAATGTCATTCTATGCTGTAAGATTCATCTTAATTATCTTAAAAAATGTGGGGTCCTGCTCAAATTAGGTGTGTCGCACTATATCAGCAGTGACATTCACCCATTCACACACAGTCATACACTATAATGGTGGCAAAGGCTCATCACAAACAGATACTAACTAATTCACACACATTCACACATCAACTGTATTTCTTTATACCTCTTTTATTTTCTATACAAATGTTTTGTAAGCTGCTGGAAATCCAAATTTCCTTGACGGAGTCATCCCAAAGGGATCAATAAAGAGAAGTCTAAGTCTACCAATGGCACATCACTGGGTGGAGTTTAGTATCTTGCTCAAGGACATTTCAACATGCAGCAGGAGGAGCCGGGGGTCGAACCGCAAGTTATTCTTATTGTGTAATAATATACATAATATTACGTAATAATAAAAATCCATTGCCTCTTAAATAATTTCCATTTTTTCCGTTCTCACTCATTCATTCGTTCCTTACACTCGTACTTTCAGTGTCATTTGCCAAAAAAGAGACAGAAAACACAAAAGACTTTTTCC